TTTCAGCGATTGTCTTGGTTGTTGCAAAAGAAATCCGTGCTGCTCCAGCTGCCGCGTTTTTCTGTCCACCTCACGTCACCACTGACTAGAGCGAGATCCACGGCCTTCACCAGCTGCGAAAAAAAAATCTCTGCGCGCAACTTCCTTGTCCGGTTCCTCCCACGTCGTTTAACCCCCCCATTCCCAAATTCCTCCCTCGACACGAAAATTACTCTGTAATTCTTCCTCCTCACCACTCTCACTCACCCTCCTTACGAGTCGCACGACGTTTCTTCCTGGTCATCCGGAAAAAGAGTCTTTTCGTTGGCGCCCAAAAGTAAGTAATCAATGTTCTCTCTATACCTCACTGTCTCTTCCTACCTCTCTCTGCCCATACTTTCCTCCCCCTCCGTCGCATTCTCGCAGTCGCATCCGCAACCGCAGCCGCAGCCATAGTCGCAAATCGTACGCTCGTGTCCGACCATCCGGCCTTCGGCATCTTCGGCAATCCTCTGCTGAGCACCTCGACGTCCCTCGCCTCGAATTGACCCCAAGAGCGATTCTGGAGGATGGTGGTCGGAGAAAGATTTGGATTGCAGTTCTGGGCGCATCGCCGAACCCCTCCATGCATCGTGGATCATCCCGGATCGTGGTTGAAGATCGACAACCAAATGCCGAAGCCTTCCAGCCTCGACGTGTCCTGCAACGAGTCGTCACCGTCAGACGCACGAGGAAGAGCAATATGCACCATCAGCAACCAGCTCTTCCTCACCCCCGCACCCGAAAATTCCGCAAGTCCCGTCTTACCTCGCCCGCGGCGCTGTGTCCCACAGCTTTCTCCAGCCTTGGGAGAAGGAAGGATGGTCTCATTTCGAGCTTTTGCAATGTCGTCTTGACGTACGAGATGATTCTTTCGTCCTGATGACCAATGCCCAGTCGAAATGCAACAACACAGTGGGAGAGGATCGAAGTTTGGACCCCCAGAGTTTTGCATACCGATGACGAAGGAAATAGCACGCTAGATGGCAACGTCTGGTCTTGTGTCACCTGGAATCTGATTGCTGAGAAGATGACCTGTCTCGCCAGCGGCAGATGGTCTGATTACCTACTCCGTGAGTTGCCTCGACAAGTTACCCGACGATCGCGTACCTAGACCTGCTACAGCACAATCGCAAGCAGGTATGCGACTGAAGGGCTTGCAAGCTCTCTACACAACGCTTGCCTTCAAGTATTGGGTTGAAAAGGATTGCTTGGGACGTCTATGCTGCGATACAACTGGGACCACGTCGGACACACGCCGCTTGTACTAGGCGCTCAACCACCACACGGATACACCCCTGGGCACAGCCACTGGATTAACAACTGCGGATTGACTGCGACTGCGACTACAACTTTTCACAATGTGCTGACGGGATGCCATATGTGTATCTGAACGCTAACCCTCGCTAGGTCCAATCATTTCGGATTCTTCCTCTGACCTTTTCTCGAACGGTTGAAAGTTTACGTTGGCCACGGCGAAACAGACCTAAAAGTCGAATTTGAAGCATTGCTCGGTTCTTTGAGTCGGCGGCTACAGCATTTTTGCACGAACATCCCGCGACATCTCGAATTTTCGTTTTCACAACGGGGCGTGCAGGCGTCAGAGAGAGTCGGCTTTTTACCAAATTCCCTTCGGAGTCCAGGTTTTGCGTCTGAACACAGGTCGTTCTGATTCGATTCTCGAAACCAGTAACCATTTTTTGAAAGCGGACAGCTACAGTTCTGAACTTGTCACTACTATTTCACCACCAAAATGGACGGAATCAACCCCTACAACCCCGCTCAGGGCAACGGTGCCCCCCCTCCCAACGCTAACGGCGATGGCTTCGGTACTCCCGTCTCTGGCGGTATGCCCTTCCCCGGCAACAACGGTTCCGGAGAGATCCCCGGCGGCCAGGCCCCCATCCAGCAGGACGCGAATAAGAACACTCTCTGGTGAGTGACCCTTCATGATATGTAGTGTGGCTTCGACTGACACAAACAGGATGGGCGAGCTCGAGCCCTGGATGGATGAGAACTTCATCAAGGGTGTCTTCTTGACCGCCACCGGAGAGCCCGTCAACGTCAAGGTGATCCGTGACAAGACTTCAGGCAATGCCGGATACTGCTTCGTCGAGTTCACCTCGTCCGAGGCCGCCAGCAAGGCCCTCACCCTGAACGGATCCCCCGTCCCCAACTCCAACCGCGCCTTCAAGCTCAACTGGGCTTCTGGTGGCGGCATCAACGACCGTCGCGACGATCGTGGTCCCGAGTACTCGATCTTCGTTGGCGACCTTGGCCCTGAGGTCAACGAATACGTTCTCGTGTCTCTCTTCCAGGCGCGATTCCCCTCCTGCAAGTCTGCTAAGATCATGACCGATGCCATGTCGGGACAGTCGCGTGGCTACGGATTCGTTCGTTTCACCGACGAGCAGGACCAGCAGCGTGCTCTTGTGGAGATGCAGGGAGTTTACTGCGGCAACCGCCCCATGCGTATCTCCACTGCCACCCCCAAGAACCGGTAAGTCTGCATACCTTGCAAATTTCGAATCAATGAAACTAACGAGAGCAGAAGCAACCACGGCGGCCCTTACCAGCAGCACCATGGCAACCAGATGATGGCTCCTGGCCTTCCCCCTCACCAGCAGGGCTTCTACGGCGTTCCCTCGCCTGCCCAGTATGGCGGTGCTTACGGAGCCCCCTACAACCCTCCTGGTCAGCAGATGAACCAGTTCACCGATCCCAACAACACGACCGTTTTCGTCGGTGGCCTGTCTGGCTACGTCACCGAGGATGAGCTCCGAAGCTTCTTCCAAGGATTCGGAGAGATCACCTACGTCAAGATCCCGCCTGGAAAGGGCTGCGGTTTCGTCCAATTCGTCCACCGCCACGCTGCGGAGATGGCCATCAACCAGATGCAGGGATACCCTATCGGAAACTCCCGTGTCCGTCTGAGCTGGGGCCGCAGCCAAAACAACTCTGGTGTTGGTACCCCCTACCGTCCTGCCCCTCCCCCACCTCACTACTTCGCTCCGGCTCCCGGCCCTGGCGCCTACGGACCTGCTCACTTCGGTGCTCCGGGTCCTCATGGCCCACCGGGACCTCAGGGCCCTCCTGGTGCCCCTCCTCAGGTAAGCATCCATGGATCATGTGTCAGAACACACCTGGGCTAACATCCTCTGTAGTAGATCGAAGGTTTTAAGGGTCTCCTGGACGGCCCCATTGCCTCTGGGCTCAAGTTGAGCACTTGAGGAAATATTGAGAGTTGCGCTCTCAACTGTCTTATTGCTTCACCCTTTCTCGAGCTTCTCTCATCGTTCTTCGTTCGCTGCCGCCGCCTTGGACTCTTAACGCTGCACGATGGATACCTGGGCGAATGACACATATTTCTTTGGACTTGTTTGATGTTAGGCATACGGATAGCGGATACGATTGTGAGACATCACGAGAACGACGATTGCATGCTTCGCGGCCTTAGTTACCTCTCTGGACATCTGGGCTTGTCTTGGGCGTCGGGTTCGGATGGTTTTGCGACTTGGTTGCCCCTTCTATTCGTCTTACTTCCACACGGGACTCCCCCAACAGAGATTTCCTAGCTTTTAGTTTGCTTTTTCGCCATGTTGTTGACTTGTTCGTGACCGTTCTGCGTGTGAACCAATCCTGTTGCTTGCTTTACTAGCTGGTCGGTCATTGGTCTGCAGTTGCGATACCCCTCTGTCATTCACGAATTTGCTGCGGCTTGTAGTACTAAAGGGGCTATACGTCCTCGCCTTGTATCATGGTCCTTTCAACCTGTTGTCTGTTTCCCTGGATAAGAGGGTCATGTTGGCGCTATTCGATGGTGGTTGGCGTAGAAATGTTGATGATCATTCGGCCTGGGACTTGGAAGTATGCCTCCCTGTATGGTGAGGGAAAAGTAGATTGCTTGGTGTGGTTTATCTAGTGGCTTTCCACGTTGGGCGAACGGTGTTCGTGGTTGAATAGGGATGATACTTCCACTCCGGGCTCAGAGGACCCTATGGGTGAAATCAAGTTTGTCAAGACCTCGAACCTTATTGCTTTGCCTCGATACTTTAGTGACTCGAATGGCCGTGTGTTCTGGCCTATTTGCTTCCTGGTGGCCTACCTCTATGGCATGCTCCCTGACCTACACCCCTCCTTTAAGTTTCTAGTCTCCAGCCTCAATTTATCGGTCTGGAATTCAGGTGCCTGCTCATATCAACCTAATATCAACCTAGAGGGACGCCGACGTTCGCGAAAGCGGTTCCATCACGAAGCATCACATGTGCAGCAATACACCATCGGATTGTGGGAAGCTGGCAGGTTCTGTTGGGAAGAGAAGGTACAAGGGCAGATAGTACCTTTGCGGCGAGTACACATTGAGTTTCGTGTATAATGCAGAAGATGCAGCCACTTACAATATTTGATTACTGTCCCAACATGTGCTCATTCCCGGCATTACTATTCATGACAGATCATTCGTTGCCTTGGGCCTTGCTGAGCAGATTCCGGAGCCCGCAATTACACAGCCTGTCTAGAAAAGAACTCAACCCCCCGTGCCCCGGTCCGCGGAAAGGCCATTTCCTTTCTAGCAGGGTGGTCTACCAGTTGATATGCTTTTACAAGAACCGTGACCTTGACGGCATCCTGTCCTTCCCGTACACGAGATACTCATCTCCTGCACTCCTTTGGTTCGAGGGCTCTACCCTCACGGTCTCTCGTTCCTCTGTCTGTCTGCCTCCTGGGTCCTAATTTTCTGTCAGCCACACGCACGCACACACACATACACACAGGTTACAAGATTTCCCTCCTACGGCGTGTATAAATCTAGCGGCGGAAGGACCGCCCTTCGGAGCTCTATCTTTCCCTCTTTCATAGCCTTTCCTTCACACAAGCAAGTCGAGGCAATCTCGCCTGCAAGGTAAGCTCATGGCATGGCGTCTCAAGCATAACAGATGCAACACACACAGACAACTAATCATCGATAGCGCACCGTCGTCAAGATGATCATCCCCGAGGCCAACACGGCGCTGAGTGCCAGCATGCAGGTCGCGAGAGCTCTGCCACCTCATCTCCTCCCCAAAGCGGACGCCGTATTCGCCATGGAGGCCGAGTTCCCCTCGCGCATCGTCCTCGACCTCTACACCAACGACATCGGCACCTTCTCCGTCTGGGGCCGCAAGAACTACACCGACATCACCATCACCCAGACAACCGCCGCCGCCGGTGAGGACAGCACCGCCAACGACAACGCCGGCGAGCCCTCGTCCGCCATGTGCGGCGAGAACGAGCTCGTCTGCGACAAGAGCCACCAGGCCATGGCTAGCATCTGCTACCGCCTCATCAAGGTCCTCAAGACGGACAAGGCCAACGATATGATCCGCGGCACCCCGCAGGATTACTGCCTCGAGATCGAGACGGCGCGGTGCTGCGTCAGCTGGACCGCCTTCATTGACAAGCCGACGCCCGTTGCGGAGCTCGTCCCCGCCGCGGAGATTGTGTACGATAATTGCCGTGACATCATGCGCAGCTACGTCTCTGGCAAGGTGTATGGTGCTATTGTGGGCAATCACTGCATGGACCAGTGCCTTTCTGAACGACCGGATGGTTGTTGATCGTGGTATGTTTTCTGACTTTTCTGTTTTTCTTTACCCCGTGACTGCTTGCCACGTGAACCCTGTGAGCTAACTTTTTGTTGTGTCTGTCAAGGTAACGAACGAACTTGGGAGCGAGGAGTTTTCTGGATCGTGGTTGTAATATTTAATGCCAATGGGCACTCCGGCTTTGGGAAGAGTGCCAGGTCATGTCAGGTTCAATGCACACTAGCTACGTAACTACAATGGGTCGCTAATTGCTTCGTACACTTTGTCGAGGCCATAGTCAAGAGATCTATTGACATTCGGCAACGGCTTAAGCTTTTTGTAATGATGCGGAACTGGAGTTACACCATGAGATTGCTGGTCCATTGATGTGCCGCATGTACATTCTGTATCCAGGTTCACACTTGTCAGCTCAGATATGCCAAGCCATAATCACAATAACTGGTCATCTAGGTATCCTCGCTCAACTGGACTGGCCATTAATACAAAAAAAAGGTCATGAAAATTTGCCAGACCAAAACATTTGCGACAACAGCAGGGTTCGAACCTGCGCATCCGAAGATAATAGATGTCAGAATCGTGAACAATTCAAGTCTATCGCCTTGGACCACTCGGCCATGTTGCCATTAGTTGGATGTGGAGTCTCGGCTGGGTAATGGCGATGTTACTTGCAGCCCGCTGCGGCATGCCGGATTTTTTTTTGGCGACAGCTCCACGTCCGTGAGCTGTGTGATCCTGTCCTCAAAGCTTTTTTGGACATAAGAAAAGAAAAACAGTCTGAACTAGTTCTTGGAGTGGTGAGGTGGACCTTTATGAGCTGAGAACGAGGTCAGCGTGTTGTGGTTTTTACGAAATCTTGCTCCGAGATTCCGTCAGCGCGCGAGGGTATTTGATGGCTTTGATACGCAGTCAAATTTCCTCCAAGCTGGCTACCTTTGAACAATGGCTAGATATCGATAGTTTGCCAAATTGTGTGTGGACCTTTTCCCTCTGTCAACGGGTTACGACCCATCGCTGCACGCCGTCGATGAGTACTGGATGATGATGGCTGTGGATCCAAAGTATCGACCGATTAAGAAGTCCCTCTCCCGAAGAGAATCAGAACGTTATGGATGAAGTGACGAAATGTCCTTTCGCTGATACCCGTCGCCGTTGGCTTGAGACCATGCATCAAGTATTCTTTCCAGAATAAGGCCCAAATACTAGACGTCGAGAGGCACACCATAGACGAGAGGGCAGTACGAAGCTCTTCCGTCAGGTCGTGGAGAGCACAGCTGCCTATATCTGGATAGGTCGCATGCTCATTATGAGGTGAGCATTACAATCAATGCTTCGTGTCAAATTTGCGTACCTTGCTTGCCTGCTTGGCTCTATTCTAGGGTACGACCAAAGGACTACCTACGCGCAGTGAGCCACAGTATTATCAGGACTGAAGGGAGCAAGTCTTCCGATGGCCCCAGCCATCAAGAAGGCGAAATGATCACGCCCCGAGGACGGCCCATCACCTGCTCTGAGTGGCACGCGAAGCTTACATGTAGTTTGACGTGTCTCCCATGGTGCGCATATCAGACAAGCATCATTTAGTCTTTCGCTGATCGGACGAAGGAGGGGGACCTGTATTAGGCCGCCCCACATTAACCGCCCGAAAGCTTAGCAGAGGCGATGCAGGGAAGATCTTCCCGTAACTAGGGGGTGATGTCATCTTCGTCGTCCATTTAGGCGGTGCGCCTCCCCTACTTATGGTAAAGAGAGACACAAAAGATCCTACCCAAAAAGATCCCATTGATTGTAGGCTGGTATTGGCCAATCCGAGAATGCGTGAGAGCGAAATGCCCTATGAGATGGGGAAGACTTGGTAGCTATCTGCGGCGCAGTCCGCGCAGCCCACGCGGCGATGTCAGGGCACACGCTGCACTGCTGCAGCTTATGCCGTCAGCGGCTTCGTTGAAGCATTGAAAACCAGGATCCCACGCTTATTTTATGGAGTGTAATATGCCAATATCTATTGAGAGTAAAAGTTGCCATACGATCCGACTCAATTTGTGAGGTTATCGTCGTCAAATTCTCACAGACCATTACGCCACACGCCTCGATAACTCTGCACTAAGACTCGAACTCGTCACACAATGTTCAAAAATTCAGAGATCCTGAGGGCTAGAGAGCAACAAGAAGAAGATAGGAAAAAGTTGAAAGAAGAAGTGGACCTTCGTGGCAAGCAGGGACAGGACACAACCAAGGGCGAACAAGTGTGGTACTCTCGCCGCGTCGACGACGGATGTCTTTTACACTGGGCCATCATTACGCACGGCCAAAAGTACGAGCTACGCCTACCGAATGGCAGTATCCCGAAGAACAAGGTGCCAGAGAGCGAAAAGACCAGTTCGTTCGAGCCTGCTCGGGTGTATGAAGCGAGGGTGGTTGCATGGTCCTTGAAGGAAGAGATGAATAAGCTCAGGGCACTCAAGCTTTCGACACCGGCTAAGGGCTATCACACCCGCGACTATACCGTTTGTCAGATAGGCTGGACGACGTTGACGAAAGACGAAGTCAACACCGAATGGGCTGCCGCGCGCTCATCCATCGTAGCCGAGGACTTGGGATACGACGACTGCCGGGAGCTACTCAAGAAATTCGGCGGCATCATCCAGAAGCCTGAAGGATGTGCTCTAGACTACAACTGGTTCACGGAAAGTCTCGAGACGCCAACTCACAGACTCACCGAAATCACACCGGATAAGGCCGTCAAGGGGTTCCAGAATTCGATGCAAAACGGGCTATGGGGTGTCGCGGCCGCGGGAGCGGGTGCCGGAATAGTGTACGGCGCTTACGAGGCTGGAAAACAGATGGACCCTTTGAGGAGTGGTGCCAATGCGGGTGGCAGTCTGGGTCCAGATTGTTGTTGCGCTGGTTGCTACTGCTGTACTTGCATGGCGGGTGATGGGTCTTTCTGGGAGTTTTGCACTTGGCTGCCGTGTGTGGCCTTGAGCGGTGGCTGCACCTGTTGATAGTCGGATTCGTTTCCAAGATCGATTTTGTTCGATAGAGGTCGCTTTCTGAATAGAGTACATAGCAAACGTAGCGTTCCTTCTAGCAGTTCCGAGTTTTATACCACCTAGCTTATACCTTATACCAACTCTTTCGATGCTGGGTGTTGTCAAAGTTCCCAATGATATGCTGAGATGATTAAAAATTCGAGCTTTCAGGCTGGGCACGGGATGTAGACAGGTATCCAAAGCGTGAGGTTGTGTTGTTTAACATTATGAGTCTACGTAACCAACATATTGTCTGGTTCATTAAGGTGCTAACTGCATCAAAGGTCTCTAATGTTGGAGGCTTTTACTTTCGCCAACTGTCACACGGGACATCTAGAAGGGAATCTTGAAACCCGAGTGACGCAGGTTTTGGAAAACACCAGTAGGATCATACTTGGTAGAAGCGGCCCTCAGCCTCTCGATGGAAGCCTCACCGTATGACGAGATGACATTTTGCACCTTGTGGGCATAGTTGAGGAAGATCCAACCCCAGTTCAAGTCCAGAGACGCGGCATAAGCCTCAACATCCTCCGTGTAAGCCTGGATGTACGGGAAAGAAATTGTCTCATTCTCAGCCCCGTTGACGGCGAAGGTAATGAGGAACATGATGCCGTTACCTCGGGTGATGTAGTGGTCCAGTCCCATGCTGTTGCCACCCATGGCGATGCCCTTGTCGACGATAGACTTGGTGATGGGCTGGAACATGCAGAGGGTGTTGAAGCCCGAGTCAGCACCGACGGCCTTCTCGAGATCCGCGTTGAGGGTGTAGAACTTTTCGACGGCGTAGTTCATGACCCTCGCATCGTTGTCGAATGCGAGAGTGAACCAGGCGTTACGGAAGCCGGCAGGCTGGCCGGAACCGAGTTCGTTTGCGACAATGGAGATTAAGTCGACCTTGGTAGTGTCCTGGGTAATGTTGCCGGCGGCATAGTAGGCGTCAAAGGCAGGGGGTGCAACTTCGGCCAAGGTGTTCTCGATAGCGGCGTTGAGGATCATACCGCCGAGCTGGGGGAGGTAAGCCCAGTAGACAATAGAAGAGCTGTTCTCATCCTTGTGGACGTTCTCCGTGAACTCAACGAGGGCGTCGATGACTTTGGGTCCGGACTCCAGGTCGTAGATGAGGTTGCCTCCCCAGACTACGGGCTTGGTTGGGTCGGGGAAGTCAATGGCGTACATGTCGAAGCGGGTCACAAGACCGAGGTTGGCACCGGTTCCCTTGAGACCTTGCCACAGATCCGGGTTGGAAGTGGCATTGGCATTGACGATGGATCCATCAGCAAGGACCACCTCAAAGTTGGCAACTTGGTCGCAGGCAAAACCGTGAGACGCCGAGTGGAAGGAGTTGCCGCCGCCGAGGATGAAGCCTCCAGTTCCGACGGTACCAGCACGGCCACCTGTGACGACAACACCATACGGGGCGAGAGTGTCGTAGACAGTCTGCCAGTGACCGCCGGGTCCGATGGAGGCGATCTTCGTTTTAGGGTTGTAGGTGGTGCTGTTGAAGAAGCCAAAGTCGATGGTGACACCATCGTTGACACTGTTGGATCCAGCGAAGGAGCCGTGGCCGCCGCCGCGAACGCCGAATGTGCAGTTGGACGCAGCGAGGGTGGTGATGATGGTTGAGACATCCTCGGCTGTTGAGGGCTGTGCGACACACCAAGGGTCCAGGGCAGCGGTGATGGACCAGTACGAGTCCATACGTTCCACATACTCGGTTGAGTTGGGGAAGTAGATCTTGCCAGCGAGTCCTGGGGCCTTGTTCAATTTCAAGCACTGGTCAAAGTCAGCAAGATGCGTCGATTAATATTTGCAATGGAGATGTGTCTGTAGCCAGAGGAACTCACGCATGCCGTTGACTGCGAGTAGCAAGTCGCAGCCGACGCAACTTCAAACAAAGCTGCTGCAGTGCTCATCGCCATGATAGAAGACTTCATCATGGAGGCTGGACCGGATCGAAGATTGCCAAGGTCGGTTGATAGGACGGACGTGGAGAGTCTGGTGGCAAGACCGAGCACCAAAGCCAAGGAGTGACTTGCGAAAAAGACCGACGCGAGCGGGTTGCACTGACAGATGTGAACACGGAAGCAGACTTTCTACAATGAGCCGTCAGCTTGTCCTTATATTACCCTGTACTGAAGCAACCTCGGTGCTGCAATCCAGCACGGTGGATTGTAACAAGCCCGAAATGGAATATTGATCCTTGAAAGGGCCTGGACAAACGTAGGACTGAGATGAAGGTGGGACATTGCTGCCGTGATGCAGTGAGGTAGAACAAGATACCCCCTCATCACGGCTGGCACCGTCCAGTTGTCATTGATGTGATGTTTATCGGTCCAGTCTTCAGTTCTGGCAAGGGTGGGTAGTATCCATTGCATGTGGCTAAGTTTTCTGCAATCCTTGCGTTGGAGACTTGGCAAACATGCTTCTTTCCCCTGTCTGGCAGCACAGAATATCGTTGGTGCGATTTCAACCCCTGTTGCTCTTTTCCCTCTTCCCATCCTATGTATTTCCACAACGTTGCTCGATGTCGTTGGAAGTAACCGAATACCATCCCAGTCACCGAAGCTCCGTTGTCCCACCCAAGATCCTGGGCCTTGCCGTCGGGGAAGAAATTGACTTGCTACCGGGCACTGGGATTCGATTCCGCGCCCTCCGCGCAAGCTCATCCTTCTAGAAACCCTGACAACTTACAGGCATCACGCCGACGACAACGAGCAACCAACATCGCCTCGGCCAGGACCAGATGAAAATGCTTACTGACCCACGTTTCGACGGACTGAGCCGATCTCGAGGGGCAGGCCGCATCGAACGATTTAGTCCCCGCCATCATCCGGGGTAGCTCATCGACGGTACGGGTGCCATGAGATACAGTACCACAATGCAAGGCGCTAAAGTTATGCCAGGATAAAGTATGATAGGTGTTCTCCATTCGGAAGGCTGAAGCTACCTCGTTCTCCGGAGTCTTCAGCAGCTTATATCTCTTCATCCAGCGACCTTACAAAATAAGCATCGATCGAACGTGCCTTTGCCACAGCTTCCTTTCACATTGCGGGACGGGAAGCGGTTGGACCGGAGATCAAGTCCCGACAGGTGACAAGTGAGAGAAAATTCTGCAACTCACTCCCAAGACTTTTTAAATTGAGATGCAGCCTCTTGCAGCCAAGAACTGCAGGCATGAGGCGTATTCATGCGAGTGCATTTGAGCCTCGAAACAAGTAATCGAACGACCTGGCCGTCGGTTCTCGCCACGCAGTCGCTGAAATCCCTCGTGCACTTCGCCAAAAGAGAGGATGGAGGATTTGTCTCAACTTCACAAGACCCTAGTTCCAACACAACTCATCCCTGTCACCGGGCTTGTTGAGCGACAGGCAAAAGTGGAAACATCGACAATTACGTGCTGTTCTTCGGGCCAGAATGCCGGATGAAGTGATATCGCGCAGAATTGTCTTGGCCGACCGCTAGTCAAGGGTATTCCGGCGTTGGTTCCAAGAGAAATTTGTGACTGCAAGACGGTGGAACAAGAACAGGGCCTTTTCCATCAGGAAGTATGGGGAGCGAGGACATGAACTCCCTTCTTCCGCGCTTCATAGCTCACAGGTTTAACATGAACGTGTACGTGCTTGCGAATCACTCTAGATATGATGTGCAAAGAGTGCTGGTGTCAAGGAGTCGGGAATGATACATGCTAAAACTAATACTTCTGCAGTTACTCTAATATTGTTTGTTACATAACGACCATGGTGTCCGAAAATATCCTTCGCCCGAAGGATGCAATCTCCTTTAAGCCACCGGTCGCCCACATACTTATGATACTGTGTTCCTGCCATTCGATCGACTTTGTTGAGTGACCCATTTTACCGCAAACATCAGCAAAAAATCAGCATTTTGGCCATTCGACTCGCAGTATCCAAGCCATGCCAGTGGTGAACGGCGTTGTCACGGTTCTTCCGCCCCCTGAAGGCTATGTGGTCGACTTTGACAACCCACAGCGGCAAGCTGTACCCGAAGCCTACTATGTAGCTGGATTTGGTACCCTTCTGAGTCTTCTGCTCATGGCGCAAAGGCTGTACACGAAAGCCTTCCTGATCGGTCGTTTACAGTGGGACGATGGTAAGAATACCCAGCAAACAGCACTATGAGATTCCTTTCCTATACTATGGTGTATCAACCCGATTTGCTTTCCATCAGATCCTCAGCAGCAACTTGGCAAGCTGCGTGGACTAACTTTCAGTCTTGACAGTCTTTCTTCTTCTGGCTTGGGTAGGTTCCAGTATCTCGGACACCGGGTCGCGACTTGCCGCAACTTGCAGCCTCAAGCCCACCCACACAACGTCGACAAGCTTGATCAACTTGTGGGCAACAGTCTCGCTGACTGTATCATAGTTCACCTCCATCGCTACCATTGGATTATGTGTTCGTGAGTGAATACGCCAAGCTGAGATGGTCGGCTAGGTTGTTGCTAACAAGCCCTCGGTAGATATGTTTGCGTATGGGTCCGGAGGTGTCCACGGATGGGAGATCTCCGTCGAAAAGTACAATATATACATGATGGTAAGTGGAACAGAATCTCATAGTCTATTCATTCTGTTCTTGAAGGTCAGGATTATATTTTGTTAGCTCGGTGTACTAACGTCATCGTGAATGCAGGATGTTTTTCTCGCCGCCGCCATCTATACCCTCTGTGGAAGTTTCGCCAAAGTCTCCCTCTTGATATTCTACTTTCGACTATCCCCTCAGAGATGGTTCAAACGAGCTGTGTGGATTTCTCTTGCGATCATTGCCGGCTACAGCATTGGTATTTTCTTTGCTCTGGTATTCGCCTGTGATCCAATCTCAATGAGCTGGGACGTTACCATCACGGAAGGCACATGTATCAACCGACCGTCACTATACATTGCCACTGCTGCGGCAAATATTATCTCAGACTTGATACTTTTTGCGCTTCCGATACCCATCGTCGTGAAGCTACAGATTCCGCCCAGACAGAAAGTTGGGCTATTCTTCATTTTCGCAGTCGGGTCGCTGTAAGTTGGCATCGCCGCTATCTTTGAAGATGATGGTACGTGTAACAAGGTTCTAGTGAAGCTTACAAGGCGTATAGGACAGTCGTGACTTCGATCGTCCGTGTTTCTCTTCTGCCAGCTATGCTCACGAGCATGGACCAAAGCTGGGTCATCTCATGGGCCAGTTTATGGATGTAAGTGAAGCTAGGCCTCCTTTGATCCCAATCTCGAAATTCATAGCTGCCTTCTCTGACAAATCGGTCTCCCAGTATCGTTGAAGCAAATCTGGTCGTCATTTGCGCCTCTCTTCCGACCTTGCGCAAGTTCTTCCGGCACGTAGCACCCAAAATCATCGGCGAAAGCACATATGGTGAGGGAACCAAAACTCTTGGTGGCACTGGAAGCAAGCCCATATCGCGAATGACTATCGGTGGTACAAATGGAACTCGGAATAGGGCCGAGTATTCACAATTCGATCGCGACAACAATGGCGAGGCATTCGTGATGGCCAGCATGGGGCCCAATAAGCCGGTGACCTTTGCCACTGGTCATAGCGAGAGCGATCCAACGGAGGATGATTCATCAGAGAAAGCCATCATGCGAGGAAACAATATTGTACAAACGAAGACAATCACGGTGGAGTACAGCCCAAAACAATGAGGCTTCAGCTCGTACGAAACTCAATATAGATGATAGATTATCAGTGTGCAAGTACGCAAGCAACTAGCGAGTTAGCAAGGTTCATGGGGTGAATAAAAGGGATTCGGAAGGCATTATTATGCATAGTTATGTGAAGAAGTAACGCCTTTTCTTAGACTTCAAGTCATCTTCATCGGATTAAGGTCCTCGGGAGCCTTGATGTAAACAGTTGAGCAAACCTGGGGAAATAGAAAAGCGATCAACATTGAAGACCCCCTTGCACATCCTGGTTCATCATCGTGATGGTCAATGCGAAAGAAAGCCTCCGTGGCATCGCAGGGCGGATGGCCACCCGGCGGATCGTGCCGAAGACGCAATGCCAAGGAGTTCCGCTGTAGAAATGATAGCAAACACAGGAGCCAGGCCTATGTTCCACCGCGAGAACCAAACGAGCTGATTGCCAGATTTCCATCGTTAGCCAAGACAAAAGAAAAACATGAACAGCCGTTGGCTGAAGGACCCAACTTGTCTTATTGTCTACATACAACTTTCCCGCATTCTCAAGCCCTCGTTTTCACTAGTTCTCTGCCGACCCTACGCTTGCTACTCGGCCGTCTTGCAAGGTGACAATCTTGTCGATGCCACGGAGGGCCTGAGGACGGTGAACCACAGATATGATAGTATGATCAACGAACTCGGTCTCTATGATTCTAGCCATCATTTCTTCGGTTTCTTGGTCGACGGCACTGGTGGCTTCATCGAGAACCAGGACCCTGCTAGAATTCTTCCTGACAATGGCCCGGGCCAGACACAACAGCTGCTTTTGGCCCTTGGACAGTGGTAGGTTGGAGACATCCGTGTCGAGACCACCACTCAAGGAGATGGCTGACCATAGCGAGACCTTAGTCAGGGCATCTATGAGGCCATCATCGGACGGCACCTCATCTGCGCTTGAGTCGTCGCTGAAGGGGAATAGATTCTTACGCAGGCTTCCTGGGAAGAGAAGCGGCTCCTGTGGAATGGCAATAAGCGATCGGCGGAGCACATCGTTCGAAACATTGCCAATGTCGACGCCGTCGATCAGGATCCTGCCTGCATCGAGGCCAAGAAGTTTAAAGACGGCGAGTGTGAGAGTCGATTTGCCACTACCTGTGCGCCCACAAATGGCAACCTTCTCTCCCGGCTGGATAGAAAGCGAGACTCCCTTGAGTACTGGCCTCGTTTCCGCGGAGTAAGATACTGTGATATTCTGTATCTCAACCTGACCCTGAGAAGGCCATTGGCGTGGGATATTGTCAGGTCTTTCAGCTATAGGCGTCGGTTCAATTGGTGTTCGAGATACGAAGGTTCGCAAACGAGAGATTGCTCCTAGCGATGTTTCAAGCTCCGTCCAAGAGGTAATCAAAGTGGCCAGAGATTGATTGAAATTGAGCACATTGTAAAGCGCAATGGCAATGGCTCCAGTGCTAGTCGCGTCTGGTATCATCATGGCCATCGAGACCAGAAAAACTGCAATAGCACCGACAAGAATGTCGAGAACCAGAGTGAGCCAGCGTTGGATGCAGAACATCAGGTAATACGGCCGTTGGGACTCATCCAAGAGTTCAAGTGAGGTTTCCCGGAAGGCAGTCTGCCAGCCAAAGGCGCGGATGGTTGCTAAGCCATCGATGGTCTCGATCAACTTGGTCAGAAGAGGAGCCTGGGCTTGGAGATCGAGGAACCGCATCTGGCGAGAAGTTCTCAGGTAGAAAGCCTGTAGGCAGTAGAGGGCGAGCAAAGCGAACGGAATGGCTGCTGCAAGGTACTTGGCACCAATGACAATAAGGGCGGCTCCTGCCAGGCAATCGAGAACAGCTGAGAGGAATCAGCTGCGTATTTCAGCTGATACACGGGACGAGTCACTCACCGATTGATGTCATAAACAACGCTGTAGGAAGATCTCGGTCAATGTGCGACAGATCCTGACTGAATCTGTAAAATGTTAGGCACCTACAGCTTCCAACACGAATCTGATATAATTACCTATTGATCAAGTCGCCGGTGTCTGTTGATCCAAAGAATGACAATGGTGCCCTGCAAGATAGTAAGGAACGATGTACAATGCAGCCTAGCAAAGTGCGACCCACCTCATGACAGACTGAAGAAGAGTCCAGTGCAGGCTTTGAGAAGACCTAGGAACGATCAAAACAAACATGATCCTGCGGTTTCTATGAGCGGCGTCCGACTAATTAAGTCGCATAAATGTGCTTTGGCAACGTACCAGATATTGACACCAATGACAAACAAGCCCACGACAGAAATAGCAGAGTAGACTCCGAAGTAGAAGCCTGTGTCTGATGAGCCGGCCCTCGCATCCTCTTCCGTCCAGATCTTGAGCCAAATTTCTGGCAGAAGTTAGACATCATGGCCGATACAAGCATTCAAAGAGAGACTTACGAGGGAAGACTCGGAAGAAGCAGTCGAGAATCAAGGATATCGCACCAGCAGAGCCATACCACCAACCAATGGATTTCAGGTAGTACCAGTACAGCGTAGTGTCGCCAGCCTTTCTCAAGAGGTCCTGCTCTGATTCAGCTTCTACTCCTTTGGTTTGCGGTCGACTTTGCTGTCGAGATTTTGCGACTGAAATGGTCTCAGCGTCCTTCGCATCTTTGGCCTGCGGATCCTCGAAGGAAAGGCTCTGAAGATAAGCGCTTTCCCGAATAGCGTCAAAATTGCCTTGGCTGGCAATCTGCCCGTCATCGCCCAAAATGAGGATTTGGTCCGCAAATTTGAGATTATTCACTGCATGCGGTGTGAGTCAAAGGCCTGATTTGTGAAAATTTGCGATGTGCATCTGTGTATCCACCTTACGTGAGTGTGTTGTCAAGATCACGGTTGCGCCATATTGGCGGACAAGGCCTCGCGGGCTAAAAAGACAGTCCCAAATCTGAGTCTGGGTTGCATTGTCCAGCCCGCTCAACGCATCATCAACAACGAGAACAGGCTTTTGCGAGAATACTGCTCGTGCCAGAGCCTATAAAAGCGAGTGAGCGATTATGCATAGCTACCAGTGAGAGGAAGGAGTACAACTTACAACCCGCTGCTTTTGACCTCCGCTGAGGGATTGGCCTTTGCTTCCTACCACTGTGTGATCTCCGTTTGCTAGCTGAGAGAAGTCGGGTACGAGAGCACAAGCATGTACAACCCTTTCGTACCAGTCCTCATCGGTCGGTGTTTCGCCAAGAATGTTTTCCTTGACGGTTGCTGTCATCAGCCAAGTTGTCTGAGCACAGTACGCTACAGGACCTTCAAGAGTCTTGACCGATCCGGTAGTGGGTAGTTCGCCAAGAAGTCCCCGAATGAGGGTGGTCTTTCCCGAGCCTATTCGGCCAATCACGATAGTCATAGTTGAAGGGGCGATGCGGAGGTTGATGTCATGTAGAATAGGCTCTTCGTCCACCTTGAGCCTGAACGAACCGTTCTGGACCGTCGCAATGTCTCTCTGTTCGGAAAATGGCTCGAGCGACGTCTTCGGTCGCATTGTGCCCATTTCTATGCCATGATCAGTTTCGGTGTAGCCACGGTCGTGAGAGTGATTTGCAGCTTCGAGGTAATCAGGATTCGTGACCGTTGATGGCCTACCCTGTTCGAGGAAGGCTTGGATCCTCTCGAAACTTCCCAAAGATGCCACCAAGCTCGGTACAGAGGTAATTAGCTGCGCAAGTGGCCCAGCAATCAGGTCGATGATGGTAAGCGAGGTGAATACCGTGGCGATAGAGAGTGACAACCCAGCATTGATCTTTTGCGCAATGATGGCAAGGCCAAAAGTCACAACAGGACCGATCATTGACGGAGCGTTGCCTGGATATCATATCTTAGCTTATGAGGTAAAACGATTGATCAGCGGCTTGAGCTTACCTAACATATTCATGTAGGTGATGAAGCGGCGATACTGCTTGGCTCTGCGCAACTCTGCGACTCTCAGATCTTGGATAGCACGCTGAAGGAAGTCCACCATTCCCAGCATCTTTGTCTCCTTGATTGCACCAAGAACTTCCGAAGTGACTGTGATTCGCTTTTGGATTTCTTCGTTCCAAATCTTCGAAGCTCGAGGCATAAGTTTCGACAACCTCGCCATTCCAATCGTGCAAGCTCAAGTCGATGTTAGATCAAGAGTATCATATTTTGGTCTAGAGTTGATTACGGTTGCTTACCTATGATGGTAACAGCCGGCCCCACGCTTCCGAGACCAAGCTGTCTTTGAAGTAGCCATATGGCAATGCCTATCTCTATAGGGTTTGCCCACACCTCATGGATCGTTTCAAACGACCTACAGATGGTCCGCACATCGGTACTGACCAAAGTCAATGACGCAGACGGATCGCTAGCTTTCGCTATGTCTAGCTCGAGGTTATTAGCCATGATGAGAGAAACCAGAGATCCACGGATCATCGTGATGTAACGGAAGAGCTTGTGTTGGTAAAAACCTGTCGACAGCTAACACAAAAGAAGCCTTATTAGTGGAGAGAACCTCAATCAAGCAGCATTACTGTAACCCACCGCGTTGCCCAGGTAGACTAAGCCTGTCGCAGCTATCAGACCGTAACCAACAGACTTAGAATCAGATCCTCGGTCCCCATCGACGTACTTGATGATTCGGTTGATGAGAAACGGTTGTGCAAACTTGAGTCCAACTAAGACGAGTCTGGGTACCGCCGTGACCAGCAAAGCCATCTTCGTCGTGCTGAAGATCGAGCGTAATAAGGCCCGCTTTCCATGCCCTCTCCGTTGATTCCACGCGTTATCGAGGTTCTGGAGCAGATATTCAGACCGCATATCATCATCAATGTCGTAGAGAGTTGAAGGAGACAAGGTGGCCTTGAAGCCTTTCCCCAGCAGGCTGTTGAGCCACCAAAAGAAACCGCGACCGATGATGCCGCTCGTGGCCTCGGGGCTCAAGTGGCGCAGAGCAGCGAGGAGGAATGTGCGTTTGCCTTGAACTTCTAGAAGAAACATTGCCAACTTCATTGCTAGCGCTGCGCTGGAGACGCTGGCCAGGTTGTGCAATCCGGGGAGCAGCCATAGCGTGCGGCATTGCACGGCGTCAAAGATGAGCGAGAACGCCAGGTAGACGCAGATCGTGGTGGATGGTCGAATAGATCGGAGATGCTCTGCGTGGCTGAGGAGAGTGAGGGCCAAGGCATCTAGAACGCCGAGAACTGCGGCAGCGACAGAGACGCGGTTAGAGAACGGTGCTTGCGTCCATAGCGCGAGCGAGGCGATTTGAAGTCCGCCAAAGACGATGCAGGTGGCGATCTTTGCGACATTTGAGGGATGTCGCAAGACTTTGCGGCGTTGATGAAGAAGCTGCTGAAGCCGGAAAGGAAGAGCCAGAAGCAACACAGCTGACGGGCCAATGTTCAGGATAGATTGTTCGAAGAGGAGGGTGAAGTCGAATCGGTTGCTGCATATGGTTGCAGCGGGGCCGAAAGACCCCTCGCATTCGGCGATGGTCGTGAAGTTGTCCATAGCCGCTGCGATGATTGACAAAGTTGCAAGTCGATGGTTTGAGAACCTCTTGTTGGACGAACTCGCCCAGTGTTTTACTATGCGGTGCTGCCAATTAAGCCAAGGGTCCCTTGATGTGCCTAAGCGGCGCGTTTTGCTTACTATCGTAAGTTCACACGGAGTCAGGGTTCATACTGCTTCAGAACGCGAGGAATCTTGCGAGTCGAGCTATGACTCGCACTCTGCCGCGACAGTAGCGACAGTGCTGCTGCTAGTGCCTAAAGGGCATCAAGACTTCCAAATTTGTTTCTAGAGCACGGGGCCACTAGCAACTGGATGAGCCCTGATCATCGATTCTCGGGTTGGTCACGAATTACACGTTGAATCATTGATCTTGGTAAGCTGTACGGATAGAGACTTCGCGCTTGTTCGGGCGGCTGAATGCGACTCCCGAGATTAGGGGACGAATGTAAGAACGATCACCAAACAGGAAGGTCATCTGAACGTGGGAATGAATTGCAATGCGCTAAGGATGTCACTTCGAAGCTCCAGACGTTCGTGCCGAGATCCGGTTGAGTCCTCTGGGGCTTAAGCTGCTGCCAGACAAGCCTGGGGAAACGCGGACGTGGGTACAAGCTGCGCGTCTGGCTACGAGTTTTCAGGGATTGATGAACCTTAATTGCTGAGGCTATCCTTGACTGGGCGTGATTGCGTTTTTTTAAACTCTTCACGACTACAGAGACCATGTCGACAGTCAACTACTGCCATCATCGCGGCACGATATAGAAGTGTCATCCAGGTACGAAGTAATCAGTCAGAAGTAGCCCGTCGGGTCAGAAAGCTTGTCTGTCAGGAGAGAATTACCGAGGTTTGTATACTAGGCCAGGATACCTTAACCTAAAACAATCGTGCGAGTCTCTTAAATCTCCACCACCGCTAAATGTAGACACGCTCCAAAACTCTGGGTGCTCGTTTATCCATGCAATTTGATGATGTCTTCGGCCACCTTCTCGGCAGCAACAACAATTCCAGCTTGCGGATTCGCAGTGAAAATCCCATTGAGTATCCCTGCGTCAACAACGTGCAAGTTCTTCGTTCCATAAACTTGTGCGTTGAGATCAACAACGGATTTACCACCTTCGAGAGCAGAGTCGGTCCCAAGATGGGTGGTTCCAACCCAGTGATTAGCGGTGCGGCCGATATCCACAGCCACCTATTCACACGATATGTTCAGCTTACTTTCATATCGAACTCTGAGGGGAAAGTATGATTTACTCACATTTTGGACGTAGTCTCGTACGTCTTGGCCAGGGGCAGGATTGATCATTGTAGCGCCAGGAATGGATGAAATCGCCTTGACAACTCCGCTAACGGTAGTTACAACAGCCTCAAAGTCGTGGTTCCCTTCATCGTTGAAGTAAGGAAGTACACTGACATCCATAACGAGAAACGGGTTGATTGTGACGCGACCCCTCGAAGTCTTGCCTAGTCCTAGGGCAGCTGCCATGCCGGATGTATCTGTGGCGATCAGCGATGGTTATCCGAGAGCAGAGCGATGACTACGAACTGTGTCTCCTGCCTCTTTGTGGTCCGCCAACATAGCTCGTCCATTGAAACCATCTGTCGATGCCATCCTCTCCTTGAACCGCGTCCCAGAAGATTGGGTTGATGTTCGGGGCTGCTTGGGTCAGTATGCCTGATCGATTGGCTGCAAGATTACTGTTAGTCAAGAAAGTCAAACCATCTCGCACAGGGAAGTCTGTTATCTCACATAGGTATGCTGCGGCGTCATCCGGAATGGGGTTGTTGTAAGCGCTATTGAAGTCGTAGTTGACTATGTCCGGGTGCTCGAAGAGAATATTTGTCTAAGAAGAATTAATTTCACTATACTATGACGGTGTCTTTCAAGTAAGTATTACGTTCACATGGTCGTCGAGATTGTAACCGACTGGAAGATCAATCCACTGGGCAGAGTCGACGAGGGCGTCGCCCTCGGCTGTCTGGACAACCTCTAGTTGATCCTTCGGGCCAATCCCACCTATCGAGATTGTTAGCAGTCATCTCGCCCTTGAATTGAGAGGGGAACACTCGCTCCGAAACAGAATCTTGGCTGAGCCAAATACTCCCGCTGAAAGGATGACTCGGCCACCAGCAGCAAGTTTGACGGTGCCGTTGTAACCGCCCTCACCAGCAGGCTCTACTTGCACACCAGTGACACTCTCTCCCCCTCTCTCCACTCTAGTGACAAGCGTGTTCGTCCAGAGCTTGAAGTTACCGCGAGCTGCTGCTGACACAAGGTATGTTTCCAAGAGCCCACCTCGCTCACCATGCTGGAAGAAGTACTCTGATTGAGAGACGGTTCTCCTCTTAGCATCTGGCTCATTGTTGGCCTCAACGCTGGTCCATCCGTTTTCAACGAGCCCCTTCGTTATTAAGTCGTTGGCCTCACGGTTGTACAAGATACCATCTTTGGAAGGGATATTGGTCCATGGGACACGCTGAAAGGCTCGGTCTGTGGCAGCAGACAGGTCCTCGGCTTTCCAGCCATGGGGAAACTGTGTATCCCAGTCCAATCTTTGAGGCTACGGAGTCTCAGCGGTAGCCAACGAAGATTGAATCAGAGAAAGAGAAAGAAACACTTACCTTGAACCAAAGGCCCGCGTTGATGGCGGATCCACCACCAAGAACGCAGCCTGCCATGGGAACAACATCTGGGCATTTGATGCCAACGCTATCTTGCCATATGAAACCGTAAAGCCCGGGAACGTCAAACCTTGTGAGGTTGGAATTCTCAAGCCATGTCCCTCTCATCCCTACACAAAACTGTCAGAGCTTGGTGCCGTAGTTAGCCCAGCTATCTTTATTGACTCACTCCCGCCCCATCTGAAAGAAGATGGAGGTCCTCTTTCGATCAGAAGGACATTCTTGCCGCTAGCAGAAAGCTTATCAGCAGTGACGATTCCTCCCGGACCACTACCCACAACGACATAGTCAAAGGCATCATCGGGGACAGTCGCAGCAAGTGATGTCATCGATACTTGGTGAATCGTCAGCTGTGTAGTGTGACTTGGGGGGTTCAAGAACGTACACTGAGCCAGAGCAAGGCCCAAAAAGCCTGAGAAGAGTTTCATTATCGTACCCGTCACAACGACTCGATGGGGGACAACCAGGTGCTTTTTGTGGAAAAAGAGTTTTGGAAGGTGGCACATAAACCAAGCCAAAATATTAGAAGCACATGCCTTTCGATCTGAGTTGAATTTAGACTGGTGGACAGGCAGTCGGTGTCTCGAACTTGGAACTCAGGGGGCAGGAAATTATAATACCGAAGTCGCTTCGAAAAGTAATGCCACTAAGAATGCCGGTACTCAGCTTAACTAGTTTCCAGGCAACCGTTCGAGTCAGTGTGCACTTTCCGGGGCTGTAAATTACCGTGATGTCGATGCATTGCCTGCGTAGCCTTGAGGCTTGACAGAATAGATTGGTCCCGTCAAGTTGTCGTTCCATCTTGGCAAATACACTTGAAACAGTATCGACTGCTGGCGATTGAACATGAGCGGAATAGTCACCTCCTTCTCTTTCAAAATCCGACCGGATCATTGGGCATTCTCGATGACGGCAGCAGCTTGGCGCTGGCAAGCAGGTCTACTGTTTCACTGCTTGGAACAGTTTTGCTCGACGGGGCTTCAATTCTATTCTTTTGACATAAGGAATAAATTCTCACGTGGGTCGGAACCTGCTTGGTAGCGTCTGATACTTAAGGACTGCGGCATTGTATGTCTCCGAGACCCTGATGGAGACTTAGCACAGCCGTAGATCGAGAATGCCACTTATTCAGTCATTATAAGACATATTAGGCAGCAATAGAAGTCTGTCAAAGTGAAGCGAATCCTGAACTTAGATGTGTCGAGTTCTAATAATAACAAACACCCATAAGCAAATGGAAATAGACGTCTGGACACTGACCAGTTTCTCTCTAAAACGCTCAATTGCACTTTTTCGACGGCAGAAGATATGAACCCTCTACCTATCTAGAATCAAAAGGTTCGAATAACGAACGACCAAGAGTAGTAGGACCTTGTTGGTAGAAGACCAATGAGTTGTTAGACCCGTCAAAAACTTGAAAATGAAAGGGACGAGACTCGAACTCGCGCGGGTTGCCCCACCAGGAAACAGATGTTAAGCTGACCTTAACCTGGCGCCATAACCAACTCGGCCACCCTTCCGATTGATGAACTCCTCCTGCCGGATTTGTATCTATGTTTCTATTCCGCTTGCTAGTGAGCCTGACGTGTGTTTGGACCATTTGTTACGCTCACGATCGCCTAATGATATCGAGGTTTCTCATCGAATTCGTTTTATGACCCGCTGTGAGCGTTTTGTCGCACAACAGCGGCAGTCACTTGCGTTCGGCGTAGTCACACTCCATAGCAGAGGCATGAATTGAATTGTTGAACGAGAACGCGCCTGCAGCGATCGACCCGCGACTAGAATTCCTGCACATAGGCAGATACTGATGCATCCAACCATTCCGTGCACAAATCCTCCACGGCGGAAGTACCAGTTTTATGGTATAGATAAGAAGAAGACCTATATTGGACACTGAGAGTATCTGTGATTGGATTGAGGTCTGAAGATGTTTGCCCTGTCCAGAGCACCGTCGCACCGTCCAGCGCTATTGAGCCCTATGAAGGCCAATATTACGCCGTCGAGCCCTGAAAAATGCAGACTTCGCGCCACAGTCCCCGGAGAACTACAGCGTGCCTTGTTTGTATCTGGATTTTCAGAAGGATTGTTGGCGGGGAGGATGTCCCTCAATTGTCAAAAGGGATAAAGAAACAAAACGCTTGATTCTCACCAAATTGGCATTGACGTTGGAAATGAGGCTGGACACCACTAACATTGAGATCTCAAACCTTATTTGCACAAAGCGTGGAGGTGGGATGTAGCCGAGCCGAAGAAAGCAACAGCGAAGGTTTGAGACATCTGATTGTCATCAGACGAAGCGCGCAGGCACGCGGGGCCCAGCTGGCTGGCTCACTACATGGTCCCGATGTCAACAGACAGCAACATCCATTCGATCACCTAGAGGGCGCGAATCTCTCCTTTTACTGCGGCACGTATTCTAGACTGAGGCCATTTCGTTTGGATTGATGCCTGTTTCCGTTTTCAGTCGACAGCAGATTGCACCCACACATCCCCGCAGTGCCGGTTGAAGGCAAGACAAACTCTCGGAAATCTAGAACGGCGTGAGCGGTAGCACTAATTTCCTAGATCCGATCGTGGAGACGATAGTCATGCCATCTCCTCGGGCCGGCCACGTAGATTGAACAGATCCGGCCGAAGAATCCATGTTGACTCTCTTCGGATAGGTGCACGAAGTCGCGGGTTTCTTATCCTTCATAACCGGAAACGGAATGAAGCGCTGACTGGGGTTAGGCTAGAAGTCAAAATTTCATCTCAAAGTCTTGCTCTGGGGAGTCTGAGAATGTTCGCTTGACCGCCACGTCTGCAAGCGATGACCGCCAAAGTAGCACCAAAACCTTGAATTAGAGACTGCTTCAAATTTATTGAGGTTTAAGTATCGTGTCCTCCAGGTTGATATTGCGTCAAACCTGTCAGCCTCTATCGCGGACTACGGCTTACTTTCACAAAAGGCGAATCAACATCAATACTTTGTCATCTTTGTAAAATATGGTTAGAATTTCCCTTGTTGGACTTCTGTCCCTGGCGGGAATAGCTGCAGCGGCCACCTCTCCGGATCAGACCTGCGGAGGTTCCAATAGTTACACCTGCCCGGGATCTCAATGCTGCAGTCAATACAACTGGTGGTAATTTTTAACCCCCATAACGACGGACAAGACTGCGAAGAAATACCAAGGCTGACCTGGTATACCAGCGGAACAACTGACGCACACTGCGGAACAGGATGTCAGTCCAAGTTCGGCAAATGCACAACTAGTTCTGGCAGCAGCGGAGGCGGCAGCACCAGCACCAACGGCAAAGTCAGCTCGGATGGCACCTGCGGCGGCACCGCGGGATACACCTGCAAGGGAAGCACTTTCGGAACCTGTTGCAGCCAGTGGGGATATTGCGGGAACACAGATGCCCACTGCCTCAACTCCTGCCAATCAAAGTTTGGTGATTGTAGCTCCGTCACCAACGGCGGCAAGACGGTCAGCCAGGATGGAACCTGTGGCGGAACGGGTGGAAACACCTGTCGAGGTAGCAACTTCGGTGACTGTTGTAGCCAGTGGGGATATTGTGGCTCGTCTATCGATCACTGCAGCACCGGCTGTCAGTCATCCTTTGGAACCTGCTCTACTTCTTCAGGCGGAGGGGCTGCCGCATCTTCCTCAGCAGCGCAGCCTGCATCCACTGGTGTTAAGACAAGTCCAGACAACACTTGTGGTGGCTCCAATGGCTACACATGTCCTTCCGGGTTATGTTGGTAAGTCATCAACTATACTTCTTCCTATCTTCTCACATCGTCAGACCATTTACAAGTCGTCTTACAGCTCAAAAAATGGATACTGCAACACCGGAGACGACTTCTGTGGCTTTGGATGCCAGACTTCCTTTTCACCGGGGACGTGTTCAACCTGCCCTGGCTCAGCTTGCGGTGGTACGGTGACCAGCAACCCAACTTGCTCCGCAAACAATGGCTATTGCTGGACATTGAGTTCAAAGAAGTTCCAAATCATTTGCGGAAGGCTTGCTTCTGGAGACTATCTTGGCTATGTCGATGCCACAAGCTTGGGCGATTGCATTTCAAAATGTGCTGCAAACTCGGCTTGTGTTGCTGCTTCTTTCTACCAGGGCAGTAGCACAAGTTGTAGCTTGCTGAGCAGCTACCAAGGTTCTGCTTATGGTAACTCGGCAGGCGGCCAGCAAAATCACGCTTACGTTCGCGGTGCCAGTTGCGGTTAGAGCTCTATCGAGAACCGGTCGGATGTTTGATTCTTCGAGTGGCGAGGAGCTACACGTAGCACCAGCTGCACAAGGAAATGTCACACCTCTAAAGTCGTTAGATACAAAATCCAATTAATCTCTGAATACGAAGCATCAAAGCTTGAGTTTTGATTATGAGACATCTCAGCCAACTCTTACTCTTTCAACCTGAAAAGCTCACTCTCGTCAGGCCAGGTGTACCATCCAGGCACCTTCATTCCACGCGACCTTCGAATGAACAGTAGGAAGCTGGCAGTATCTTCCTCGCCATTCTCAATAGCGATTTCCCACGCTGTCTTGTCATTTGATGAAGTGGCCTCGAGAACAGCGCCGCTATCAAGCAATCACTCGGTTGCAGACTCCGTAGGCTATCTTGCCCCTAAGTAAGTTTCAGTTGCCATGGCGGGCTTCTTTCTTCTCCAAGTGCTTCTATATCAGCGCCCAAACTAATCTGTTTGTCAACGGTGTTGGGTATGGACTCATAACAATCCCCGCGTATCGCATGTTCCAAGGCATGACTGCCACATGAATCCTTCAACCGAATATTCAACTTGGGCCAGTGAATGATGGTAGCATTTGATCATTTGATGGACTAGCCAAGGTGACATATGAAGAACTACACGGGATTCAAAAACTACATGGACCCATCTAACTTGAAATTTTCTGTAGAGGTCAGCTAGCACCGCTTCTGCGTGATGAGCGACTAAGAAAGCTTACATGTAATGTCTATAGATATAAAAACATAGTTGAGACTCGTTCGCAAGATCTCAATATGCTCGTATTTTTGTTTTACAATCAATGTAACGCCGGCAAGCAAAATGGCGGACAATTGCTAGGAAAGGGGTAACAATACTCCTTGAGCTTCTCTCTTAAGCTGGACGAAAGGCTATGTATACTGAAGGTACTCTGCATATTTATTGACATATTGTCATCTACGTAAACTCCCCATCCTTTCTGTGAGAACATCCCTTCAACACAACTTGTTGCTATGCTGTAACCTGAACACCGTTCATCGAGCCACCGGCCCGCCATTCCTCCAGGAATTTTACATAGGCATTTATTCCATGTGGGAACGGCGCTCCTC